ATAATGAAAGATGAAGTGAGACAGGCTATAAAATCAATGAAATTAAACAAAGCAACAGGTCCTGACGGAAGATCCATTGAAATGATCCAATGTCTCGATGAACTATGTATCGATGTCATGACAAAACTAATAAACAGAATATATGACACAGGTGAAATTCCAGAAGATCTAACAAAATCAATATTCATAGCTCTTCCAAAAAAATTTGGGGCTACTGAACGTGAACTTCATCGCACAATCAGTCTCATGAGTCACGTAACAAAAATTCTACTCAAGATTCTGATGATGCGCATGAAAAGCAAAATCAGGCCAGAAATAGCAAAAGAACAATACGGATTCACACCTGATAAAGGCACCAGAAATGCAATTTTCATTCTTAGAATGATAATCGAAAGATCCATAGAAGTCAAACATGACATGTACCTCTGTTTTCTCGATTACACAAAAGCGTTTGACAAAGTCAAACACGACAACCTATTCAAAATTCTAGAAAAGCTAGATATTGATGGCAAAGATCTACGATTAATACGAAATCTATATTGGGATCAGAAGGCTGCCATGAAAGTAAACAATGGCATCAGTCAATACATAAATATCAAGAGAGGCGTCAGACAACGTTGTGTTCTATCTTCAGACCTCTTCAACATCTATAGCGAAATGACACTCAGAAATATAGAAGATGTAGAAGGAGTAAAAATTGGAGGCTATAATTGTAACAACCTCAGATATGCAGACGATACTGTATTAATAGCTAGTACTGAAGAAGACCTACAGAAAATGATTGATATAGTCTCAAAAGAAAGCATAAAGATGGGATTATCACTCAATGTCAAGAAATCAGAATGCATGAGTATTTCAAAGAATAAAATCCCACCGTCATGCAACATTAACATCAATGGAGAAACAATCAAACAAGTTGCTCGATTTAACTACCTAGGATCCATCATAACATCAGATGGACGATGTGATGAAGACATCAAAAAAAGAATTGCTCTCGCTAAACAAGCATTCCAAAAGATGAATCCAATTCTGAAAAATAGATCCGTATCGATCAAAACCAAAACACCAGTTCTTAAATGTTACATATGGTCGATTCTGTTATATGGATCTGAATGTTGGACAATCAACAAAGAAATGGAAAAACGCTTAGAAGCCACTGAAATGTGGTTCCTAAGAAGAATGCTGAGTGTCCCTTGGACAGCTAGAGAAAACAACGAATCAATACTAAGAAGAATGAAATGGAAAAGATGTTTGATGAATACCATCCGTTATAGGCAGCTGAAATTTCTTGGTCATATAATCCGGAAAGGTTGCTTGGAACATCTGGTATTAAGTGGAAAAATCAATGGAAAGAAGGACAAAGGCCGACAAAGAATCAAGTATCTCGAAAACATGAACCTTTGGATTGAAAAACAAGGTTACGAGCAAATAAACTTCATTCACGCAGCACAAGACCGGAAAAAATTGGCGTATCATGTTAGCCAACGTCTGCAACAGATAAGGCACTCAACTGAACTGATAGTGCAATCGATAGAGAACTTCGAGAGCTATCGAAATCACTACTTACATTTGATTCAGCAGCTCGTTTTCAGAGAAAAAATTCGATGACAAAGGGGGGTCTATAATTTTGACATACCCTGTATATGGAGACCATTTCTGGTATCAACTTATCAAAATATTTTAAAACGAAAAACTATCTCAAGCCAATGATTAGCCCATTAGCTTCGTTGTGTGAAAAAATTATTTCGATCCAACCAGAAATAGAATAGAAAAAAAGTGATCACTGGGCCGAAAGTAGGTCCAAAAGTCGGTCATCTCGTATTTTCTATATCCTTCAAAGAGTTCCAACCCAATTGAGCTCAAACTTTCACCAGTTGTTCTTCTATATGTGATTTATCGTTAGGCATAGCGCCGTGTTGCATCAGTAAACAGAAATAGAACTAGAGGTTTTCCTAAAGAACCAGGTTTCTGTCCAGGAATCGTTAATTTTGCGAATACAGAAATCTTTCAGCGAGAAACCAAGGTGATATTCGGAATCAGCTCGTCAAGTCACATCGAACCACATATAACAGTAAGTGCTTCTCGAAAAAACCAGTCGATTCCTGCGCTCAGCAAGGTTCTGAAAGCCGGTCTTTTCGTATTTTTTAACTCCCCTAAACAATTTTCGTCCGATTGAGCTCATACTTTCATCAATTATTCTTCTATATGTGATTCATCGTTGGCCATAGCGCCATTTCATATCGATGAGCACAGCCGGTGCCATGAGACTCCCAAAAAACCGAGGTTTTTGCCCCCGAATCCCTATTTTTGTAAAGAAAGCGTCATTTTAGTGCAAAGCCAAGATGATATTCGGAATCAGCTCATCGAGTTGCATCGAACCATATGTAATAAAAAGAGTTATTTTGAAAAAACGTTTTTGACTCTTATGCAAGAAAAGCTCAAAAAAATGAGTCATATTGTATTTTTCGAACACTACAAAGGTTTTCATTTGATTAAGCTCAAGTCTTTACCAGCTGTATACTTCCATGTTAATTTATCGTTGGCTATCTACTCCGTATCGCGCGAGCGACCATCGAGCGAGTTAAAAAACACCCTAAAAACGGTATTTTGAGCTGGGAATTGCCATTTATTCAATTAGAATAGCTGATTAATGTAAAAAGAACGTGATATTTGGAACAAGCACATGAAACTACATCGAATGAGGTACAACCCGATATGTTTTCTGAGAAAAAGATTTTTTCGAAAATTTAGTGCAAGGTTCCCCTCGAGTGATTTTGGCAAAAAAATTTTTTGAAAAAGTGGCTTGTTTTGTTACAGTTGAATTTCTAAGTGATATATAACTCGCTCTGACAACTAAAAATCGGGTTTCAAGCAAAAAATATGCATGCCCGCCTGCTATGCGAAAGTTGCTCACTGTGCGGCTCTGGGTGTGGCTATGGATGTTGGCGTGGATGCGAGTGTGTGGGTGTGGTTGTGGATTCGTACAACATAGACATTCATGCCCATACCCACGTCCATCCACCCACCCAGATCCAGACGCAGACCCACACCCTACACCCGCAGCCATACCCACCCACCCACCACCCACACCCACACTCACCCACTACTCACCCTCATCCACACCCACCGACACCCACACCCCACCCACATCCTAGCCACGTCCAACATAGAAGAACATAGGTAGGATGCTACAAATATTTTATCGTACACCCAGCGGCAATAAAAGTCGATGTCCACTAAGCAAATCAACTCCCGTACATAGCCATAAGTGTCTAATTTCAGAATATACACTATACTGATTGTCTTTTAAAAATCGTTCACGATATTTTTAAATTTCTACATAGAAAAACGTGAATTAACGTTTTTTCAATGTTGAATCAACAAGAGCATCTAGAATATTTTTATTATATGCTTACAAACAAGTGTCCCAACATAGTTATAAAATACATTATATAATAACTTAAAACACAATTATCATTAGTGACTTCTATTTTATTATGAGAGGTGCAATGGCTTGCATCTTCAGATCTGAAAACGGAGAATATTCAGAAAATTTTTACTGAAGTGGAAAGATCGGTCTATCTTTTATTTCAATTCTCTATTGTACTTTTAGTTTACTCGTCTCTTATCGATACATTCGATTGATTAACTTTTTTCATTGGCTCTGTGTGGCGCAAACTAATGTTGTGTTTTATTCTCAATCAAGAATTTTTTCCTATCGAAATGAACCTTTTAATGAGAAGTAAAAGAATGTCTTATTGATTCTCGCCTTAAAGAGTTCGAATTATCCTCAACCATCAGGAAAACTGTCGAAGTGAATCAATGTCTCAAAAAAAAGAACCAGTTTTCTTTAGAAAATCTATGTTAATCATTCAAGTTTTCTTGACAATTCCGAGTAAGAATAACAAATCGAATGTTGTTATTAATAAAAAAACAATTGGTTCTTTTCGTTTGGTTGTCTCGAATTGATTGAAGTTGTTTCTCTTGTAATGAATGCATTTCAATTTTTGAAACTTTTGTGAGAAATGTCGAAAACTTCTTAATCATATCTTGTTTTCATGTGATAAAAAACAAAAAGATCTCTTGATAGAATCGATCATTTTGATTGATTTTTCCGAAGTGATCGTTCGATCTGAGTGCTTTTTCAGCATGAGAAAACATCGATGAGAAGGAAAAATTTTTGAATCTGATCTCGAAACAAGATTGAAAATTTTTTTCCTGAAGATTTCTTCTTTTGCCGAATCCGCAAATGATTTCAAATCTCATTGAACATACTCAGATATTTTCAATTCACTAAACTCTGTTAGTCGATGAGCTCTTTTTTTGGATAGTTTCTCTATTGTATTCTCTGAAATGTATCTAGTTCAATCTTAAACTCGACTTTTATTTGGATTCGTGATGGAAAGAAAACATAGAAATGTTTGACAAAGAATTGAAATCGATCTGATCAAAGAAAACTTACATGAATGAAAGGTTTCTGAAGACACAAATGAAAATAATTCTATTGGAAATGATGAAATGTTAAAGTGTAGTGAGAGATGGGAATTAATCACAAGTGAATAATATCAATCAGTTCTCATTTCGATAATCCAGAAAATGTATCATGACAACGTTCTAAGCCATTTGCTGATTTGAGCATTTTGTTTACTGATTGAGATTCGAATGATCATCAAAGAAATTTCGATTCGATCGAAGATTATCGAACCTGTTTGACATAGAAAATTTTCAAAAGTTTCAATATTGATTTTGATCAAATCACTTTGCACATCTCATTCGTCTAGAAGCGAAAGGAGATCGTCAAATTGAATTGTTCGAATTGAAAAAAAAAACAGAGGACAAAATAATTCTATATTTATATTTGATGTATAATTTCAAAATATATCAAATGTTCTTTTTTTTTCTTTCTTTATCGAATGAATCTTGTAATGATGATAATAGTTTAAATAAATCCGATGATGACAATGTTTGAGAAGTAGATGTTGTCGATCTCTGAGATCGTTCTATAGAATCTTCTGTACTTCACGATGATTTTGAGATGATGATTGAATATGCGAATGAGAAGATATTGTTTCAATATTCTCTAACCATTGATTACGAAGATTCTAAAAAGAAAATTCGACTTATTAATTTTAAAAAAGAATAATAGTGTCAATGGAAAAAAAATGATTCTATATCAATCTTCGATATCTACTAAAACGATTTTCATTCGTAAAAGTCTATTGACGATATTTTAATTCTATTCTATCATTTAAATACCTTTAAGTTACTAAAAAATTGAGAAAATAAACAAATAATTGTTGAAAATGTTTCAATATGAGAAAATTTTTTCTTGTTCAATAAAAGTAATTCTTTCGTCGATTGACATATATTATAAGTATAATTAATATCATTTGAGTATAATAAACTTTCCTTTTTATTCACTAATTGAATAAGTCTATTTGGTCGTCGCAGTTTATTTCGTATTGTATTAATTGTTGAAAAAATATAACCTTTTATTGTTGAAATATTTTTTGAGAGTTGAATAAATATTTCATCGGAATTATTTTCATTGATTAAACTATCGATTTTTTCAATTAAATTATTGATGGAAGTTTTAAATCCAAATTCTAAATATAAAACTTAATCATATAAATCAATTATTATCAATTGATTACTTAATGAACATCTAGAAAATATTCTTTTAATTTTTATTTAATAATCAAAACATTTTTTATACTTATGTAACTGTTGTTTTTTTAAAAGTTTTTCATTTTTTATAGATGTTATTGATGAGCTAGTTTTTATTAATGTTGATTGTCTAATATAATTAACAAATATATATATATTTCAAATGTTTTGATTTTTTTTACTTTTGCTTAGATGTTGTTGTTGTTTTCGTTACAACTGTGTCTTCAATTTTTGTCATTAGTATTGGTGGTTGATCATTATAAGCTTCAAAGACAAAATTAGATAGTTATATATTATAATTAAAGAAATGAATCCAAACTTTCACTAGTAAATAAATAAATAATAGTACTATTAGTATTCAATCCGTATTTATCAATATATTGGGAAAAATTTTTATGTGTATTAATATCTAATGGATGATATTTAAAATCGTACAATGATGTTTTACATTTAGAATTGTCTATAATGAAGAAAAATAAGAAATAAAACTAATTTCGAATTTGTTGTTGTTGTTGTTGTTTTACCCAATTCGAAAATATTGAGAAGACGACGATGAACAGTTTTAAAATCCATTTCTTTATCATCCCAAGTACAAAAACGAGAACCACCACCTTTTGAAAGTTCAAGTTTTTTTATTATACCATTATTTGTTAATATTAAACGACCACAACGAAATTTTCTATTCATTTATTATTGATTATCTAAATATTCAAAAATCCGATGTAGATAAAATATATTATGTTAGTGTTATGATCGTTAAATTTTATTTAAATCGTTCAACGATCGAAGTTATTTCGCTATTCAAATTTGAAATTTTTTAAAGGAAGAGAATAAGAAAAAAAAAATACTGAATCACCCACGAGAGTTCGTTGACATTTCGTATTTGTTAGAATTCGTATGGAAATTCAACCAATAGGACTATAGATTACATGAAAATAATTAATTTAACTTTATATTCTCTTATAAATATGTAATTAATGTTTTTTTGATAATCGACAACCCAGTGAAAAGGATTCCATAAAAAAACGGCTGAGAATGCGTTCCAAAAAAATTAAAGCCCTGTTTTTAAGAAAAGAAAACGCTCCGAAACAAATGGAGAGCATTCCAAAATAAAACGGTCTGGAACGCATTCTATCACTTTTGGAACACTTTTCACCATTATTGGAGTGTTTTCTCTTCTTGACAGCAGGTAACTTTCTCGATCATACGGCTGATCATTAGTGGGTGAATCTGTAATTCGTCAAAAGACCATTTCCGGAGTAACTCGACGAGCTTTATCAGATGGCGTCCTCCAAATCGTTGTAACTCAAACCGTTATTAAAATAATGTTTTTCTCTAAATTAGACCAAGCATCCCCAAAGAACAACTAACCGAAGGTTCCACTATTTCTCACATCAGTTTCAACCTGCTTTGCTTCAGATATTTTGATTTTTGAATCAAAATGTGATTTAATTTCAAAAGAAAGCATTGATCGCTTAGAAGAATTCATTCTTTTAATGCTTCTCTAGAAAACATAAAAGAAAACGATCTTATTTCGATGAAATGCTATCTGTACCGTCGTTCTGAAAGAGAATGAACTAGGATGGATTTTATTGGTTTAAGAATGGTTCGGAATGTCTTCCCTTCAAATAGAGAACGATTTCTCAATAGAAAAGAATGTATCCCGTATTACTGTGGAACAGTAAAGAACGAGTTCCTTCAGACTAACAATGTTTCTTCTTGAGCATGAACGCATTCTTTACGTAGGAAAAAAGGTTTTCATATTTTCATGAAACCATTCTCTTCCGTTTTTTTTTCGAAATATTTTTCACTGGGAAGAATTTTGATTTTTATTGCAAATTAAATAAGTAACTATTTCAAATGGTTGATTATCAAATCGATATATTTTCGTAATAGTCATTCTAATTGCATTCATAAGCCAGTTCATGAAAAGCTATCAATAGATTATGAAGAATCATCAAAATTAGAAAATTAATTTCTTTCTACTTTCAATTAACATTGAAAATACACCGTTGTTCGTATTGATAAATAGCAATCATTGCTTTTATCTAATATTGTTTTATCTTGTTCAATTTTAAACAACATCTAAACTATTATAATCATTTTATGAATTATGTCCACAATGCATCTCAACAATCGAATATACACGAATTGGTTTAACTGTATTGTATAAACAAAAATGCAAGAATAGGTTTTTTTCCTTTGTTTTATGATTATTTACATATCATCTTTGTTGAATCAATAAAACGATATTTTATTAGCATGACTAAATACTTATTTGATTAAAAGAAAATTATTTTCGAATACACGAAGAGGACACACATATATATCTTCATAATCGAGAAGAATAATATTTACAATGTATACTGACTAAAATCTGGTTGTTTGTATTTTTAAATCTATTTGAATAAAATTCGACTAATTTTCTTTCTATTGTGTTATTAATATTAGTCATTTGTAATGGGAAATTGAAAGACACTTTCGAATAATATCCATTCAATTGCTTGTTGATTAAGATCGAATTTGACAAGAAAACCACTTTTTACCAAAGACAGAACTAATCTGTAAAATTATACAAGACTAATATGATCGATTGAGATATTTAATTACAGAGAACAGTGTTATTTTTTATTGATACAATAGAAAAATTGTAAAGATCAATTATATTTAACAGAAGTGTATAAATGCTTACAGTTCTTGGCATTAGATTTATCATAATTTGAATATATTTAAGAAAATTTCTGTTTCGAATGGCGTATTTTGTGTATTATGAACTGATATAAAACTCATTGTTGAAGATAAACAATCTGTACAAGATATTTCACTTTATTCTGTGACACATGAACCATTATGAGCGAATGTTGTTGTACAAAAAAAAATACAACCAAGCGGATCCATTACAACTTTAGTAATTTATCATTATTTATTTATTGATTTTGTAAATGATCAACGATAGAATTCTTTTCATTTCATATAGATTAAATATTTAATCATAATATTAGATAGTCAAGAAAATATTTTTTAACTTAGAACTAAGCAAATTGATCAAGATGTCTTTCTTTGTTTCTGTTCAAAGTTTTTTTACATACAAAAAAATGTATCTCTTCTAAAAATGAGTTACAGACATTCAATGAATACAACCAAGGTCTTCGTAGTCCAAAAGTAGATGATAAAGTGATTGAAAAATAAAAACAAATGATCGATTCGAAAAAAAAAACTATTTTTTCAATGTACAAGTGAACGTATAGTAGATAGGGTCTATCTGGAATTGAAATGATTCACATAGATAATTCTATTGATTTTTTATGCACAAACATTAAAAAAAATAAAATAGAAACGAACGTTAACTTAACAAATTCTAGATAAATGAAATTCTATTTTTAATTCGCATGACAATTCATGAAGAACATAATTGTTTTCAAAATCGAAATATGAATATTCAGTTCAATGTTTCGTTTGTCTCGCAGTCATTATTTTTGACAATAACGTATTTCATATTAAAAGTAACTCTAGAAATTATATTTATATTTTCTTCTACGTAGTTCAATATTATCAATATGTATTAATCTGGCTTCCTACTCCGCCTCTTTTTCCTCTATTTTTTCTGAACCTCCTCCTTTCCGCCTCTTTTTGGATATAAATCCTCTTTTTCCTCTTTTTTTGGAAAAACCTAGGTTTTTAAGGGTAATAACCGATAATGTCGATCGATTTGCATGAATCGATATGCTTCGAACCAATAAGGTAAATAACAAGGTTGAAAATTATCCTTCAGGACGCATTGTAATAATTAAATGTGCATTAATTCCAATCCAAAAGATTTTTTAGTAAGATTTTTTGGCATGAACTTTGATCGAATAAGTTAAAACCAATATTTATTGAGGTTGAAATTTGGAAATATTAAAATAAGTTGCGATAGAGTTATTTATGTGCAAATATAAAACTTTGAAAGTTAGATATTTGAGCTCATTGAAATAGTTTTTTCTAACAGATGTGTGTAAAGCTTGAGCGAAGCATCAAGACAGCTTCCATTATGAACTTAAACATGAAGTTCGATAATTGAAACTCAAGATTTAGACTTCGAAACTGCTGAATATGCCGTCAAAGTGACTACATTTGCCTGGATGAGGAAATCGTTTACAAGACAGCCGGTTGTTACGAAAAACAAAACCCGATTTTAGCTAATAAATCTCTAAAACTTTCTCCAGAGACAGAGATCTTCGCAAAATGCTAGTTCACACTCACTAGCGAGTTCGGCGTCTTAGATCGCCTCGAATAATAATTAGTGATAAGTTCTCACAACTTTTGATAAAAACTCGCCGTGTCATATAACTTCAAAGACGTAAAGTTTCTCTGCCTTTAGTAAAATTTCTTGAAAAATCGTCAAAACTCGAACTTAGTATACTCAGGAATCAAAATTTTTTCAAGTACTTTTTTCTTGTATATCACTCAATTTCAATTGAATTTCGAATTATTTCCAATCTGTAGAATTGATCACATTTGGTATTGTTGTGCTTTCAGAGAGAACTTCTGCTGTCCAAGATAGAAATTCTGGTCATCGTTTTGAGAAAGACATTTTGCAACTTTTGATTTAAGCCAAATTTATCCATTTTCTTGTCTTATCAATATGCACGCTCTACTGTTTCTTTTTTCGCTTTTTGTTGGGTCTTTCTACTCTCGTAATACTATAAGCTGAACAGATTTTGGATATTGAGTAATTTTTTTAAATGTCTATTTCTTTGTCTACAAGCAGTAAGATAAAGTGATATCACAGTGAAGTACCTTTGAATCACATCCGTTTTTTTTTTCTTTTTTCGTAGTTCTTTTTTTTCTGAGCTGGATAGAAAAAGCATGATTGCAACAAATATCAACAACTGAAAATCGCTTTCATCTTTCGGGTTTTTTTCAGTCTGTATTGAATTCAGATTAGCGATGCTGCAATCTGTCAACCTTTGAGGCTCGCGAGAGTTTTTGTTCGCATTTTACAACCTGAAAAAATGCGCCTCTTTTTTTTCCTCTTTTTTTATTAAAAATCCTCTTTTCTCTGACAACGAAATTCCTCTTTTTTCCTCTTTTTCGGCGAGCTGTCGGTGGGATGCCAGGTATTAATCTCTAAAGAAAAGTATAACAATTTATCTCCGATTAGAGAAGTTGGTACTAGTTCACTTTAAACATATTAATCACAGCGCCCTCATCCTTACGCAGTGCGGTGTGCGTAATTTAAACCAATCAGTTTGATTAATGTGTTTAAAGTGTACTTAAGAAGACGTCCTAGTGAAAGTACTCATCAAGTGAGTACGACTTTCCAGCGTGAATACTCATATTACTCGTGCGAGTACTCGAAGAATTTAATGTGTAAGCATACTCGTCATGTACTCCGATGAGTACTCGTACGAGTTTTTCTT